GATGGGAGAAGAAGATTGGATGGCCAAAATAAGGATCCATGTCAGGGGTTTGGGGGAGACCGTCACCGACGACGACCTTCGCAAGATATTCTCGTCATTGGGGACGGTGGATGGAGTGCAAATCGTCAGGACTAAAGGCCGCAGCTTTGCTTACGTCGATTTCGTTCCGGCTCTTCCCAACTCCCTCTCCAGGCTCCTCAGCACAGTCAGCTCTCACTTTTCTCTTATCTTCTCTCTCTGGCAGTTTTCCTGTTTCTGAGTTGTTTCTTAAGCTGTTTTTATGATTTTTTGATTGTTCAGTATAATGGGTGTGCGTGGAAGGGAGGAAGGATGAGGCTTGAAAAGGCTAAGGAGCATTATCTTGCTCGCTTGAGAAGGGAGTGGGAGGAAGATGCTCAGCTTGCTTCCAAACCGCCTAGTGATGTTGATGATGCTGATAAAATCAGGACAACTTCAGAAAAGCCTAAAAAAGATAAGAATTTGGAGACAAGGCAACTTCGATTGTTCTTTCCTAGATTAGGAAAGGTGAGGTTTAAAAAGCTATTATATTTGGGTTTTGATTTGTTCTTCCGTGGGGGAAGAAGGAGAAGGAAAACCTTGTCTATAATTTTTCTTTTCTTGCGGTGGATTGCTTCCGCTAGTGTGGTTACTCAGTGTCTGTTGTGATACAAATTCAATTAGCTTCGGTGTTAATATTAAGTTGACTGATTCTAGAGGAGGCCATTGGATGAGTTGTAGAACTCTGTGGGATTAAGCTCAGACTTACTAACCTATCTTCCAGGAAGTTCCTTTGTCTGTGTATAAGAATCAACGTCCATTCCCTGACTTCCTTTGTCTGTGGTGTGGATTAAGCTTTAGTAAAGGTTATAACATTGGTGGGTAGTCAGTTATAGTACAGCATGCTTTGTTACCTTTCTAACTTAGTAGATAATTTCTATGAGGTTGGACAGGTTCCCTTTTTTTCTTTTTTTTTCTTCTTTTTTTAAAAATAAAACTATTTTCGTTTGTTTTCTACGGCCGGGTGTCTTTCTTGTATAGTAGAAGTGCCTGTGATCAGTTGATGGCTATAGCCTTGACCTGAATCAAGTGCTTCATGCTTTACCCCTTGATCACGGGCTCAAGTTCTTTAGTGTACCTATCACATGACATTAAGGTATTTGATTCTCACGTATTAATATGTTTTACAGGTGAAATCATTGCCACTCGGTGGAACTGGCAAGCATAAATACAGTTTCCAACGTGTTGAAGTGCCTGCCCTCCCATTGCATTTTTGTGATTGTGAAGAGCATGCTGGTCCTTTTCATTCTGTAGTAAAAAGGCAATTTCACGACCAAGAGGAAAAGGATGGTGTCATGAATGAGGAAGAGATTAAAATCATGGATTTAGTGATGAAGAAATTGTTTGAGAGGGAAAATGTTTCGACTGTTAGCAGCAGAATAATGTCAAAGGAAGAAGACAATGTCATTAGATCAACAGACAGCCTGCCACTTGATGAGAATGAAAGTGATGAGGATAACCTCATAACTAATGTGGTATCTAGGGAAAATAACATAGTGGCTTTGTCTGGGAGAAACGAGGAGAAAAGGTTCTCCATAAAGGTATAACTCTATGTTATTATTACCAAGCTGTTGTTTCTTAGACATTATTATTCAGTATCAATGCAATTTCTGCTCTAATTTCTTTCTGTTGATGTACTGAATACACAGAAATCGCAATTTAGTGGAATACATGCTTCGAAAGGAGAATCGATTCATAATGTGCAAAAAGTTCAGAAAAATAATATTCTACCTGCAAAGAAGATGAAACGGCTTCTCAGTGAGGGTGATAAAAATGAAGTTGTGACTCTTGTACCTGGAGGAATAGAGAATTCACAGTATGATGAAAACGGGGCAGATTTTCAGGAGAATGAAGCAGAGTCTGAAGCAGATGAAGATAACCTCATAATTAATGTGGTGTCCAAGAGAAACAAAATGATGAGCTCGTCTGGGAGCATGGGGCAGGAGATGATCTCAAGTCAGGTATGACTTTTCCTTCAATTGGTAGAGTGTTAATGGTTTAGTCACTAATTTACTCTTTTCACAAATGTTATGCCTGTATACTTTGTGATTGTAATATTTGTGTTACTGTCTTAACCAGGAATTGAGAACTAGTGCATTGCAAAAGTCTGAAGATGGAGTGAGTAAGGATGCACTTAAAGCCCAGAAAAAGAATGATACTCCTAAGAAGAAAAGAAAATCACATCTGAATGAAGAAAGTGATGGAAATGAACCTGGTTCAGATGGACCTGTTGAGAAGGGGAATTCTCAAATCTATTCAAACAGAGCAGAGACAGACTTTGTTACTCAACCTACTGGACCAGAATCTGGTACCACACAATCAAACGCCAGTTATTTATGGTCACAAAAGTCTTCATGGAGAGCACTTGTTGGTGATATGGGCAGAAGTTCATTCAGTGTCTCCAATATATTGCAAAAAGTTGACCCTATTGAGGAAGAAAAACCCTTGTCTGATGATCCAAAGGTGGATAACAACAGTCACAACAAAAATGAGTTGGTCTTAGAACCTGTGTCTGATTATCCAAAGGTGGATAACAACAATCACAACAAAATTGAGATGGTTGCAGCTTCTGAGGACTTGGAAGGCCTGTCAGGCAAAATAGAGGAAAATGACACGGTTGTAGAACCTCAGCAAACTAAACCTCATACGGTTCCAAGTGAATATGGAAGGGGTTCTTCATGGCTCCATAAAAGCTCATGGATGCAATTGGTTAGTGAAAGTGACAGTTTGTTCAGCATCTCAGATGTTTTGCCCAGTGCTAACTCTGCAAAGGAAACACTGATACAACCAAGCTCTGAGAATGTAGTGACCTTTACTAGCAGAAGTCGCGACAATGGAATGAAACCGAGTGAGAATGGCACTATTGAAAGTGGTGCCACAGATCTCAAAGATGGAAAGGAAGAGGGTTCTGGTCAGAGTATGTTGGAGAAAAACCAGCTAACTCTTCTAGACAATGGTGATGCTTCTGCCCCAGTAATTGAGAAGAAAAGGGGTTCAGCAGAAAAGAAAGCTACCACCAGAGATGCCAGTATAGGCGAAACTTGTACGTTTATGAGAAGTGCTGTTTCGTTGAAAGAGTGGGCTAACACCAAAGCAGCCCTAAGTGGCTCCCGCAAGAGAAAAGGCATCGAGAAATAGGTACTTATAGTAGTGCTAACAAGGTTTTTGTATGAATTGATTCTGTTTTGATTATTGTTACGATATGCATTGGCATTCGACCTTCAAAAGTTTTGATTATACTTTCATTATTGTAACAAAAACTAGCTGGTTTTATGTTGTTTTTCATTTCTAGAAAGGTCAGACTTAATAAGAGATGAACATTTTGTCTATCTTATTTCAAAAGAATTACATGAACTTTACAAAAAAACATACAAAAGTTTCTGTTGAACAAAGAGACAAACGGTTATCAATCATCAGATAAATTTGTGGTAGGATGAATTGTATTAATTGTACAAAATATGGGATTGCCAGTTTTGCTGGGAAAAAAAATATTAACTGCATGACTTAAACCATTAGTTGAAGGGGGAGTTTCTTATATTAAGGGCTATCCTTCCATCTAAAAGTTCATGTTTTGCAATTTAGATTACAAAATAGGAAACTCAATTGCAAAAGTCCAATTTGTTGATTGACCAACGTAAAAGATGAACTGTGATCATAGCTTCTACTCCACAAGAAATCCATAAATCCATTCAAGACTAATTTTTTCTAAATACAATGAGAGGAGATTTCTGATTTCTTTTCTCTCTCCCTCCCTCCCTCCGATAATCTTGCATCCATATAGTATTGATGCATTAATTAGAAATTCCGCGCACATATTACGGCATATGCAATGAAACAGGAAGTTTAATTTTCAGCACCTCAGCTTTCCAATCATCCGTCCACATATGTACCTAAGGCGTAGTGTAGGGCAAAAAATTATACCACATGATACATGGTCTTGCTGAAGGATGTGCAATCCTCGTATGTTCAGATAAAATAAGAGAGCATGACTTTGAGACTCAGTCAGCATCACCAAGGCCATCACTGCCATCGCCTCTCTTTGTTAAAGGCGTCAAATGGGAGTTTGGTTTCTTTGTATTTGAAGCAATTTCGGCATTCCTCCGCAAGACAGCTCCTGGTGAAGGATATGGACGTTGTTGAAACAGTGGACCCTGAAGTTCATAGAAACATAAAAACGTTTGAAGCATTAGAAATCTCACAAGAAGGATCAAAGTTCTCATCCAGCATCTGTAATTGCAATATATTTAGGCCTGGTCTTTAATCAACCAATTAATATACCTGTAAAAAAAGAAAAAAGAAAAAAGAAAAAAGAAAAAAAATATATATCCAAAAATAGAATCTACATACGGTTGCAGTGGTATCAGCTGCTCGAGGCTGTACTCCTTTCAGTCCTACAACCCTGTATTTTCAGAATAAGAAGAAATTAGAAAAGAATAATAAAGAGCACCTCCTTGCAGGGCATCTAATGTATAGTATATGCATTATCTCAATATTATCAAACAATTTTACATACCAACCACCACGAGGAGCATCTGAATACGAGCTTGGGTCCATGGGATCCAACTCATCATCCTCAGAGTAAGTACGCTTCCTGTTGTCTCTTCTGTTTCCTTTTCCCATGGGAGGTTTCCAGTTCGACCTGGGAGTCAAAGCAAGACAAGCCCTTTAATGTTATTGCACATAAATGTCTGCATGCTAGATATGGGTGTTCCAATATGTCACTATTTCTTCATGAGAAGGATATGTTATGTCAAGTTTGGTGGCTGAACGAATTAGAAAGAAAGGCCAATAATACAGTTGTTTGAGGAGCAGCAATTTGTTAGAGCGCCATTGACTCCAATGTAAGTTTATGCAGCATCACCATAGAATAGTCTTGTGGATGCTTCACCCTTGTATATTCATGTTTGATAAATTGCAACACTGAGGCTCATAGGCTTTCGGTTTCTATTATGTTAAGTTATAAATGGAGTTATACAGAATTATCTCACCAATATTTTGGAATTGTTTTTCTCCTACATTCTTCTCAACTTGGACTTCTCCACACCAATCACCAATTGCTTTTAGGTTGAATACTTTAACAAGGGTGCTTCAGAAAGCTAGGAGCAAATTAACTTGTCTATAAGCACACAATTGAAACAAAAAAATTGATGAAGTACCTCTGTTTTGGAGGCTTTTTCTCAGAATCTTCTGTGGCCTTTGCAGAATTGCATCTCTGTTGTGGCTGATTCAAGCTGGTTGACAGGTACTGACACTCTGGAAGTCTAAGTACTCTGCATTATGGATACATTTTCAACGAAATGAGCTCCAATGGCTTAACTAAAATGAAATTGAGACAACACATGCATGGCTCATGAGAAAAAAACATCCATTGACCATTGAAAGATAAAGCAGGTAGTGCAGAAGCTGAGGCTGTTTTAGGTTTGTAAATCATTGTATCTTCACATGCAGCTTGGTTAGAATTTTCTGCATTTTCTGAAATGCATTTCATTGGAGATAATAGATTCTTTTTCCTGTATACCATTTATAAGAAATTTCATGGATTCCATCTAAATTAAACCAATTTCAACCACTGAAGCATTAAGAACCATTAAATTATTATGAAAAAGAAAAACGAAATGCAAGACTCTAAATTGTTTGAGGATAAAAGGCATCATCATACCGTGTGCAGTGATTGCAGTAACCCCATGACTGTACAAGGCCAACTCCCCAACCACCACATCCCATGCATTTATCTGGGTTTGATGAATGATTAACCCAATTTGCATCAGCAACATTTTCAGACACCATGGTGCCTGTATTTTCTGATGCAGCGTGATTTGATGAATTAGGGTGCTCCCATTGTGATACTTTGGTCTTTGTATTGTAATAATATCTACAACCTATCATAAAGAAAAATAATAATAATAATTATGAAGGCTGGGAAGAAAAAGTTATGGTAATGGATGGTAAATAGTAGGTTTTCGCCAAGGGTACAATCATGCAGGCAGTCACAAATAGTGAAATACAAGATAAAGAATTATGAGGTTGTTGCTCCAAGGAGTGCAATCTGATCATCCAACGTAGGCAATTTTTTTCATTTCAGAATCTATTATGACATGCTCAACGGTAAAACATTTTCAAAATATCAGCAACTAATTGAAATCCTTCTAAAGTCTGATCAACAATAAATTACACCTCACATGAACCAATTACATATTACGAAAATAATGGATCTGTTGTTGTCATCATCCGATCATCAAATGAACAACATTCATGCAGCAGCACTCCAGAAACACCTCCAAACATTTGCACATTATTAACAGAAGGGATATGCTCTATAGGTCAAGAAAACCAATAATCTACTTGAAATGTTCACCACTAAATACTAATGTTTGCTTATTTGAAATGTCCCCATTATTGGACAGAACAGAAAAAAATATTTCATATTTCGTCTAGAACATACCATCCATTTACTGGTGGCAACAAACAACTAGTTTTTTAAAACAAGTCAACATTGTTTAAAATCAAATTAATTTTTTGACCTGTTTTGGAAAAAATATTTTTTTATTAATTGCCAAATCAGCAAGAATTGATGGTAAATTTTAGGCATAACTTAATATTCTTTTACTTCATCCAATAAAGGGGAATAGAACACCAAATTAATACAAAATGTAATTTATGCATTACGTTATTTTATCTTGTTTTTCTTCTTAATTTACATATTCATCTCCAAATTGATCAATTAAATTATAGGTAAGGAATATAGCAGGATAATTAGGCTTTTACATATGGCATACCTGTTGTGTCATCTACTGCTTCCACCCAATCTCCTGGAAGTTGTGAAAGTAATGGCATTTGTCCACTAGTAGATGTCGCACCAGGCCTTTCCCATTGACTGACTCC